CGGGCCGCCCCTGCGAGCAACATGGACCAAAGCGTGGTGGATCACCCGGTGACCCTCATCATCAAGGCCCCCAACCAGAAGTACACCGACCAGACCATTAACTGCTTTCTGGACTGGACTGTGGGCAAGCTAAAATCTCACCTCTCTAAAGTCTACCCCAGTAAGCCGGTGAGTTGTTGGCCAGACCTTTTTCTTCATCTTTCTCCATCATAAGGCTGGCATTGCAGTAACTTGTGGACAGTCAGCCAAGACTTTCCTTAAGTACTCTGCAAAATAAACAAGAGTCCTACTGCCAGAGAGTTACCTCTGTAAAGGCAATCCGTGGCTGGCTGCTTTCAGGGAAGTTGGCAAAATAAATAGGTGCTCTTTTATATGGTTTAAGAAGATCGCACTGTAGCATCCTGAAAGGTGGTATTGCTGAAGGCACTTATCAATCTCCATTTAACTTCTTTAGGCGCTGGAATTTAGATATGTCTGTTAATTTAAGGTTAATTTCTGTAAATCTAAGAGTTCTGTCTAAAGTAATTACAATACTTAAGCGATATAGCTAAAGTTACTACAATCTAGTGAATTCAGTGAGGTGTGGAGCAGATAGATGTTTATTCATAATGTTATTTGAAACAGGCAATTGAGCAACCTCCAGAATTATTTTCTTTTTTTTTTTTTTCCTCTTTGAAAATCCATTTTCTTGAGGTTGTGCTGCAAACTGTGCTCTCAGATGGTATACAAACTTGTATGACAATTGTGACTGTATTTTGGAACTTTTATAAAAGCTTATGTTTTTTCTTTGTTCGCTGAGGAAGATATGATTCATTTCTAAATTCTTTCATTTTGGCAATTTAAGAAGAGGCTGTGAAAAACCATACACAGAATAGTAGAAAGATAATACTGTACCTGTTTAGAATAGCAGTCATACAGAAGAGTATATATGAAAATTTGTTCCAGAAAACTGTATAAAGGGTGTGACTTTGCCTGCACACTGCAGCAGCGTGTGGGCCATAGACCTTGCTGTAGAAAACATCAGACAAAGGTTGCATTTATGTTGCAGATAATTAGTATTCACCTAGTTCAGTAGAAGAATTATTGGCATTGTTGATTTTTTTTTTTTGGTGGGGGAAGGTGAAATAGTAGCTTTGTGTCTCAAAGAGGATTTCTGCCTTTTGGAGAAAGAAGAAAAGCAGTCAACAATTTAGGCTGTGTTACTGGTACATTGAGATCTGTTAAGCATTATTTGAGTTTGTGGCTTAGTTATTGCTGTGAGTAGTTCTCTGCTGAGAGAGTCTGTCTGCTGTGAAAGAAACAAATGTATGACTTCAGCTGATTGCTGCTTCTTCCTCCTCACTAGAATCTCCTCCTGTGACGTATTTGTGTTTAAACACTAGTTTTCTGACTCATCCTGTGATCTTGCTACGTTGGGCTTCTAGGAAGAATCCTTAATGAACAAGAGGTTTTTATGATGCACTGTAGGTTTTAACCAGTAGTATAATATGAAATTTCAGTTTCCTTGAACATCTATCTTATGTTGAAAACTGATTCCTCAACATGCCTCTTATTATTAAATGACTGATTCAGAATCCCCAAAATTGTTCTGGGTTAAAGAATGAGGAGCTTCTTTAGTGAAAATTATCTCAGTAATTCCAATTTAATGTGGATTTACTGTACTTGCAATTAAACTAACAACTGAACACAGTATTTCTTAGAGCCTTTCAAATTAAAGTAATAACATGGGAGGAGAGGAGGGATGTCTCCTATGTACAGTAAAACTGAAAAGTCTGGTTTTGGCTTGATATGTTTTTGATGTTGAGTGTTACTACTTTTTTCAAAGTTGTTTGAATCTTTGTGCTTTTAGGAGCTTTCATCCCCCTTGCCTTTTTTTTTCTTCTTTTTAAACTAGATCAGTGTCAAAAGCTTGTCGATAAAATTTCAGCATTCTCTGGATATGATAGGTCCTGGAAATAAGTTCTATTACAATGCTGTTTTAAGAGTGCAAGAGTACATCAGAACACAGATGCTCTATATAGGTATTGCAGTGTTCTTGAAGTTAAGGGTGTAAAATAGAAATCAGGTGCTATCGCTGCTATATGTAGTCTTTCAAGTTTTCATATGTGACTTGTACCTCATTCTCCTATACGCATCTGTAAATTAGTCCGTAAACCAATGGTAACTGTAAATGTTGTCATTAAATTTACAATTTATTAGGAGTATATCTTCAGAAAGTGAGGTGGTTAAAATAGGCGAATGAGAAGTAAGGCCTTGAGGCAGTGGTTTTTTTGTGATTTTTTTTTTTCCAGATTAATTTGTGTAAATGACTTTCCTAAATATGTCCAAATTCCAAGTATAGGCAGATTTAAATTGGCTTAGCCGTTATTAAAGTTAGTGTGCTTACTAAAGTAAGTCATTGAATAAATTAAATGGGTTTCAAACAGTATTAAATTGGTTTGTGGGCCTATACTAAGGTTCACATTTGTCAATATTTTTTTTTTCCCCTGACTGGATCAATTTTTCGTAACTAGAGTGCTGCAGTTATAGTGTCCCTAAAAGAAATCTTTATTAAGAAAAGAAAACTTGGAAAATCAACCTGTATGTCTCAATCTGGCAGATCTTACATTCAGTGTGTTAACTGCTGCATCAGTTACACCCATAAACATTAATTCAAAACTGCTGTTTCTCGTTTCCTGTAGTACCTGTCATCTAGTGTGTACTTTGCCCACAGTTCTAACCAGGTCTGGTTGTTTGGATTTTTATTTCCTATGGAAGAACGGGAGAGAGGCCGAGTGAGCAAAAAAAAAAAAAGCCTTGTAGGTGAAACAGGATAGTTCAGAGATTGTCTGTGGTTCTGAAGGAAGTTGCTGCATTAGCTTAGGTGTGGTGGGTTTGGTAGTGTACTGAACGTAGCTAACTTGGACTAAGCGTTGCAGAAGGAGTCTTGCTTGAAAAATGGAAGAAAAAACCCACTAACTGTTGAATTCCTAGTTTTAAATACATACCTTCTGGATTATGATCTGAAAACTGTTTTCCATCTCACTCTGAACTTTAGTTTCTGGAATCATTCTATCTGATGCTATGTGCTTGCTTCTGAAAATGGGGCACTCTAATTATATATATATATATGTATTTTAAAAGTGTTTTTCCATCACAGTTCACTGTTTGGGCTAGCAGTGAGCATGCTGTTCCTTGAAGCAGGAGGTGTGGTAGTGAACCTCCTCTGGCAGAGGATGAGTTGAATGCCTTTTCCATTTACTTTGGCATATATGTGAATTACTGTGCTTCCACATTTATCACCTCTTCTTCCATCTGCATTTAAAAAAACCCCGCGTTTCAGAATTCCAGGATAGCTTTCACCCTTAGAATTGCAAGTGATAATCCTGTAGTGCACAGTTAGGTATTTAAGTTACGTCGGGAGGAATGTGAGGTTTAAGACCTCATCTTCCCCCATTTATGTCTCTAGCTTGCTATCATTAACAGTACTCAATGTATGTGTAACCTTTTCTGTTGTGGTTTTGTAGGGAGCTGAAACGCATTACTGAAGGCTATGTAGTAGTCAGCTTTCAGGGGTCACTTTAATCTAGCAGTTTCTTCTCTGTAAGTTATTCATACTAAAATAATTTGTACTACTAGTATCATGTTTGAGGAGGTACTTAATTAGATGGGGTTGAGAGAAGGTTAATATATAAGGTACTGAAGAGAAGAATCTGAATTTGACCATGTCGAAAGCTGTGTTATGAGTGGGACATGCAAAACGGCACTCCATTGCCGTGTTGGATGATGGTACAAGGATTTGGAGTTTGGGGAGGGGCTTTGTTGTGTTTTGCTTGTTTTAACTGCTTGTCTCTTCCAATTAATCACCAGATAATCTATCTCAGGACCCAGAAACAAGGTTTCTGAGACTTTTCTTCTGGCTCCACTGGTCATTCTAAAGCAACAAGTTTCTCATTTGCAGGAAATCAAAGTTTTCTGTAATCTTGATGCATGCTGCAATTTCTATTTTTTCCAAGAAGGCCCTTCCCGAATACAAAATGCAAGTAAGCTTGTATTGTTAGCAGCCTATTCCTGCTTGAGAGGAGCAACCGAAATGGTACAGTTCAAAAGAACTTAGTCTGACAGGAGAGACAGGCATTTTTTTGTTGTTGTTTTGAACGTAAATAGAAATAATACAGCATTGATGTTGAATTCATTGCAGTATTTTATCCATTGGAGCTGCAAATAACTAATTCCCTCTGTTATGAGACTTACTAAAATAGTGTATTATGTCACTAAATAAAAATACAGAAGACTGGAAAATGATCCTTCAGTAGAAGTGATAAACAGTTTCATACTCTAATAAAATGAGTGTATAAACTGCCACATAAAGAAGTATTTTTAATCATGACCTACTAGTTTGAATTTGGGGAAAAAAGTTAAAGCTAAAGCTTCTCAGATTTAATGTGTACTTTTTATAATTATTTGCTTAGAGTATCTGTAAATTTTTTTCTAGTGATATGACCAGATTTTTGCAGGGAAAAAACAAATTCTGCAGCTTTTCTGTATTCTGCTAAGTTACTGGAAATCTGTAAAAGACTATTGCAAGAAAAAAATAAATCTCAAAACTTTTGTGAAAGCTTTTACTAATCACGGAGATCTGGATCTCAGGTATTTGTAACTTAGTATGAACATGAATACGACTGCAGAGTAGGCCACAGAAGGCTGGGAGAGAAAGAGGAGAGATGTTGTAAGACTAACTGTTTGCGTGATGGGGAAATTCTTCAAATATTTCATGGTGATAATGCGTGTCTGTTCCACTGATGTTAGGCTAGATTTCTTCATTTAGCATTTGCTTATGTTAGTGCTCTCTTTCAAGCAATAAATGCTATTGTATTAATTTAGGATGCAAGCAGTAGTTAAACTGAACTGATGTAACAGTTGGATTCTCTTTAGGGGTGAATATTTAGGAGCTTTTTTTTTTTTAAAGACCTGTTTATTCACATAGTTACAGCATGTTAGTGACCCATGGTATTAAGTCTATTTAATATTAAGACTAAATAGTGTGGACACTGTTTGTTTAAAATTCTTTCTGACAGCATAAATTGAGTTGAGTGGGGTTGGGGTTTTTGTTTTGTTCTGCCTATTGCTTTAGCGTACTGGACATCTTATAGTAGATGGGTACCGCAAATAGTTTTCTTCTTTTTAAAAGAATTTCGTCATTATCTCTTCTGTGTAGCATAGTTAAAAGTTACTACCTTATGACTAGTGTACTGCTTGTTTAAAAAAATTATTTTTTAAAAATCTTTGTGTGCATTACTAAGGTATTTTAAACTGGAAGTGTAGGAACAGGCAAAAAAGCCTACCAAAGTCTTAAGGCTACATTAAAAAAAAAAGAAAAAAATCCTTTTGCTGCTTCATGCTTTTTAATGCTTTCCTTGTTGTTTCCTCTTGTGTGTGGGGGTTTTCTTTTTTTTTTATTTGGTGGGGGAGAGGGGTTGGCAAGGGGCAGGCTGGGGGCAGGGACTAATAACAGACATGTCTTGATGAGAAAGATTGAAATTTGTGCACTTCTGCATATTTTCATTATCATTCCATCATTCTACTAACTATATTTTTGCTGTTTTTTTTTCCTTTGCCCCTGCCACTCTTCCATCTACTTTTTCAGCAAGTGCCTGGGAATGGGAGCAGGGTAAAGAGCAAATCTTTTTTTAAAAGAAAGGAATTTTTGAAAATACCTGATAGTTTTCTTGAGCACCGTTTGCCAGTTAAGTGTTGTTAATTGCTATGGCACTCTTGCTGAGTGCATAATAGAATTCTTTTTCAGAATTAATTTGCGAGTTGGACTTGTGGAGCCTCTGAAATGTTTTTAAGGCTATCTGTTGGTGGTTGGAATTATAAGGGCTTTTCTCATCTGCAAATGTTGTCTCCAGCTGTATATCTGTACAGCAGGAAAAAGCTAAATTCCTTTCTTTGTCCCATCTCCTAGTCTACAAAGGATCAGAGACTGGTGTATTCTGGCAGACTGCTTCCTGATCATCTGCAGCTGAAAGATGTTCTCAGAAAAGTAAGCTTTATATCAACACCATATGATATTTGATCAAAACCCCTTTTGGGGAAACAGGAATTTAGATCTGTGTTGTTTAGCTTCAAATTTTCATTGTTGTATTGAGAGATGTAACCACATAATACTGATATGTTCTGGAAAATGTATTTTCAAGTATCCCTTCTATGTAGGATTGTGATACTTGTGGATTGAGGCATGTTTCCGATTGGTGGGAGAGCAAGTAGGCCATTTAAGCCCCAAACAAGTGATATGTAGTGTTGAGTGACTTCTTTGGATGATCCCCACTGTGATATAAATGCAATCACTTAAGAGCTGTGTTGGTTTGGGACATCGTTTCATTTCTTGTACGTACTTAAATCCAAGAACTTGCATTAAAAATGGCACTTGTGTAAGCAAGTTAAGGGTAATATATTTATATGCAAAGCCAGAATTCTAAATTCCTGAATGGTTTTGCTGGGAAAGCTATTTGTTGTCCTGGTTTTATTTATCAGCTGTTAACCATTCCTGATGATGTTTGAAAGTTTGTTGGTTCTTGCGTTTTTTATTTATTTTTTTTTTTATTCTGCTGGTTCATCTTGGAAAAAATAATTTTACTAATCTAGCTTTGGATTCTTCAGTCAACATTTAAGTTAAATCCAAATTCTGAATGCACGTGACATTGCATGTAGGAAGTCTTGAAATACATGCACTTAGTTTTCAAATCGGTTCAAATAGATGCTACCAATAGGGACTTCATTAAGTTAGTAAAGTTCTTAAAAGTGTGTAGAATGAGATGATGTTTAGGGCAGATTATCAAGAACTTTGTTTTAATTTAGGTGGTAATAGAAAGCATAATGCATTATGTTGAGTAGTCTTTAAACTCCTTGTAAACTGATCAGGATGCATCAATCACTGTATTTGGAAAATACTTTAGGTCATTACACAAGTACACAGTTTTTAACCCTCTGAAATGGGTAAACTCTGTAATAGAGTACCTAGGTGTTGGTAGGGATACTTTCTTGTAATGTATTGAGGTAAAAATCAAAGTACAGACTGCAAGAGTGGTGGGTTATATTTTGATATTTAGTATGGAGGAAAGTCTGTAAAAGAGAATAATGCTTTGGTGAAAGTGGGCAGCTGAACTTCAGTATTAAGTATAGAGAAACCAATGCAGAGGAGTCTTGAGTATTGCTTGAGCAGACTAACACTGATTTTACTTTATAATCTTCATTCTAGAACAGATTTTTGGATTTAACTACTTACAAAAAAATGACTGAAATTTACTATGTATAGGTTTATTAGAAAACTGGAGCTGGACTATTGCCAACTGGTATGTGTCCTGTACCTCTTAACACTTCATGAAAATGCTTCTATAACTTACCTCAAAGCTTAATTTTGGTGGTTAAGGACAAAGTGAAGTCTGAATCCCTTAAATGCACTTGGCCTGCTTACAGTAGACTAGTTGCAGGAAACAATTTCAAACCTTGTTTATGTGCTAGAGGAGAAACTTTGCGTAATGTCCTCCTTCACTATACAGGTGCTGTATTTGACTTTAAAGAGATTTTGGTAGCTATAGGCATTGGGTTTAGTTAAATTTCATTAATTTAGAAACATACTCATAAGTCTTAAATTTGTGTTGGAAGAAGAGGAGTTTATTGTGCTCAAGCTTTTAAGAGCTTTTGGAAAAAAGGTATGATTACTCTCAAGTTCAATCTCATTCTCTGCCATATTCGTCCTACTTGATTGACTATAAATTCGTAATATTATCTGAGGATTTACTAAATCTCTCAATTTAGCTTTGTGATACTTGCTCTTTGATACTGAGCAGTGTCATTTTGCTGGTATGAAATACCTTGAGGCTGGAAGTTGTGACACTCTTCAAGTATCACGGTGTCCAATGTTATGTATAAACAGAAGTACATTACAATAAACTGTCGCATTGAATAAAGCTGTACACTGTAAGCTTACAAGTAGTATGTCTAGCTTCCTTTGCCTTCCCAAGTTCTTATCTAGAAAGAAGGAAACTAGGTTAAAGGCTTTTGATGTGGTCAGAACGCTGATCACCCGTGTTCAGTGTATTCTGGTAATTGTTTGCTGTCACTGACTGGTAAGAAATTGCACTTATTGTAATAGTGAGGCTGTGCTTGGGGCTAGAGAGCGATGCATGCGGAGGAGTTTAAATGAATGTGGGTTTGGATAGGCTATGTTAGCAGTAATGCACAATGGTGTATAAAAGCAGTTATCCGGTTTTCTTTATTCCTAAAGATTAAAACTTTAAAATGAGTAAAGGTGTGTTTTAACGTATTTTTTAATAGTTTAAAAAAAAACCCCAAAGCCTATATTTCTAAATGTCATCTCATTAAAAACGGCAGCTTGTTTGCACCATGCTGATTTCAGGAGAGGACAGAGGGTTTTCTTGTTGCTTTTCTTGTTTAAAATTTGGCTACAGAGGAAGCTGTAGTGTGCAAATTAAATACATAGTCATAGCTGTTCTTGTTGCTATGGCCATATAAGCTTCAGGCGTGCTGATACAACGGGGTGTGTTCATTTGGTACAGTGAAACAGCTTCAGACTGAAGTTGTGGCATCCATGTTGGGGGGGGGAGCATATTCATGAAGAATTGGTGTGGGCTGATTACCTGCATCCTGACATGGCTTCAAGGGACTTTGAATAGCGTTCCCTCAGTGTGGAATATCTGCAGGGTCTCTTCAGTTGGGCATCTGGAAGTTAGGCTTGAGCCAAGCTTAGACCAGAACGAGTGGAGGCAGTGACGGGTACATTTTTCTTATCTTGGTCTGCTTGTGGAATTCCAGCACATACATTTTTCATTTAATCCGATGTCTTTATTGAATAACTCTTCATTAGTTCTCAATGCCAATGTAAGCATTTAAATTTAGGGAAACCGAGCCCTGTGGAGGGTTTGAGATTTTTCCAAAATAAAAGTTAAAGCTTATGATGTACTTCCTCATGTTCCTTTGTGTGGTCTTCCATTGGTTCTGCCGTGCTGCAGTTTTAGGGGAAACTGGGGGTAAGTGAATGTTCAATATGTTGTTGTGGACAGCTACTAGAAAACATTAGGTGTGAAACAGTAGGCTTCTCTTGCCCTAGGCTCGAATTTTACTTTATGGTCTCTCTGTTTTGTATAATGTTTCTTTACTGATTGCAAATGCAACTTTGAAAGTGAGTTTTTAAAGACAGTTTTTGTTTGTAAATTTCTCAAATATTGTTGCTTTAGCTCTTCAATTTCTTTAATTTTTAGCAAGATGAATATCATATGGTTCATCTGGTATGTACTTCCCGGACACCCCCAAGTTCTCCAAAACCCAGCACCAGTAGAGAAGGTCACGGAGCTTCAACCTCCAGCAGTAGCTCAGTGAGTTTTTTTTCATACACAGGACATGAATTTCTTCTACGCTGAGGAAGCCTTCCAGGAATTTCTCTTCTAACTCTTAAAATTTGACTGTAAAATAGTATGGTGAAAGTAGAGCATGCCATATGAATTTGTACAATTAACTTGATTATTTAAGGGTGCCACTTTATTTAAACAAAGATGACCTTTTTCCAAATTGTGACAGAATTATGTTTATTAGATGATAAAGCACTACTTTTTCTAAGCTGTTCTTTCTTTTTAACACTTTATCGAAAAGTACATTTTCCTTTCTCTCCATATCCCTGTATCTTTGGCAGAAATTGAGCAGTGTATTCAGATTTAAAAAAAAAAACAACAACAAACCAAACCTAAGTTCTGATTTAATTTGTGGAAATCTGTACCACTGAAGAGAGACCAGTCAGATTAGTGCCCTTATTGGGAGACAGACAGGTGGAGCTTGGCCAGTGTTCATTCTGCTTGGCAGGAATTGGCCAGTACTTATGTAGTAGCTTCAAGGTGGTCTTAGTGAGAAGTAGAAAGTGTTCTTAACGTTTTGTTAGTTAAGCTGTTCACAGAACGCTTTTGTTTAGGGTGTTTTGAGCCTTCCCCTCTTCACACCCTCCAGAAATGTTGGTGTTCTTTGGTTGTGCTCTGTTTTAACAGAAGTGCAGTTAATGTTTATGTTGATGACTTGATTGTCATTACTGTAATTCTCTTAGCTTTTTCCAGAGTTGACAGTGACACTAAGTGACCCTTGAAAGTTAGTCAGAAAGGAATGTATGCAATACTATTGTAGGTATTTTTCATCTGTAGTGTGTTGATAATCAGTGTATGAGAAATACCTTTCCAGTAATAAGCTGTCTTCATTCTTCTGTTGATAATGTACAGTTTCAGACGACTGTGTGACAGTCAGAAACATGAGCAGTTTAAGCAATAGTAGAGAGTGGACAGTGGTTACATCATCTTTTTGAAAGCTGTATTTGTATCTCTGTTTGCAAGCAGGACACAGGGGGCCTCCTTTGTGATGGTTTTGTTGTTAATGTAGATCAGTGGTAAATGTTGTATTTAAATGACTGTATTAATGATTGCTTAAAACAGTCAGTATGCACAGTGTTAAGTTCAAAATACTTTGAAGGAAACAACCGAAACCCAAAGCTTGAATGGCCTTTGTTCCTCCATTTATATTTTTTTTAAATTTTTATTTTCCCCCACTGTCTAGTGGTAAATTTTTCTTGTTTTCCTTTGTAGGGCAAATGTGATATGGATGTCATAAGTAATTGCACCTCCTCACTTCCTGAGTTGTCAAAGTTGAAGAGGATTTTTCTACTGAGTAAACGTTACAGTAATGCTTAGCAACAGGATCTGGGGACTTACTAAAACTAAAACAATGCATCTCAGTGACCAGATTGCAGCCTCGTTATGGTGACAAAATAATCTAGGAGAGCTAGCTGTTGTCCTGCTTCCGGGGTTAAGTATTGATCTTGGAAAGCATTGCAGGTCTGACACACGTGTTTTAGGTGTGTTTCTGGGAGCCGAAGTAGTTCCTAGCTACTTCCCTATTCCCCCCCCTTGCCCCCTCCCAGCAGTGAGCACAGCAATTTAGATTGGGCAGCTGGCACAGTGGAGAGGATGATGAGTAGAAGGGGGAGCTGAAGACCAGGTTAAAGGAATGATATTTTAAGCCACTGCAGGCACTGTTGTTTCTGAATATAGAGTCATGTCCTGAGGTTGTAGTTACTTTTGTTAATGATAGCCACTAGATTTTTTTTTTGCTGCTAAATATTCTTTCGATTAAGCTTTAGTTTGGTTCAGCTTTTTGAAACTTTGATTCCCAGTGACTTGTGGTTTTCTCTGGAACCTATCAACTCTTGAGTCTTTCTGAAAACTTCACTTTTTTCATATGTGCACCTGAGTGCAATTTTGAATTTCTGTTTTTACTAAAGGCTTGCCAGAACCAATAAACCCCAGAAGACTACTTGCCTGGTGCTTATATTCTCAACTTGTGACAAAACATTAAAGCAAATAGTTTTTTGTTGTTTTTTTTTTTTTTTTTTAAGACACAGTAGTAAGTCTTGTAAATGTGACAAAAAGATCCCCAACCTCAATTTTATTTATTTTTAAGAATTTAGACCGTTCTGGATCAACTGCTGCCTCACCCACAAACCAAGAAACTTCACCTACATCTCTGAACGCTAGTGCAGATGGAGTGAGGCGTCGTAATCTTCCACAAGCACAAAGCAATCCCATACCAAGCCACCAGTTCCCTTATTTAATGCAAAGGTAAGTGAGATTGAAGCATTCCTCAGCTCTTTGATACTCTTTAAAGTACTTTAAATGTTCAGTTACAATTATGTTTCTTTCACAGTCTGCAAAATGATTTGGCTAGTTCATATTGAAGCATAAGTTACATGAGAAACATTTTTCGTATGAACATTAATGTTTTTAGCCAGGAGTCAATCAAAGATTAAGTGTTCTTGGTGCTCCCCTTCACCCTGTTTTTTATTTTTTTCTTTATGGTTTCTGCCTTCAACTTTCTGTTGATAAGTGCAGCTGTAATACTTATCTAGTGGATGTAGTTCATAATGTAACTGATAAAATTATTGCTTCTGGTTGCTTTTTCTAGTCCTTTACTATAATCATCAACACTAAATTCTTACCAGAATACAGTTTTTGACACAAGAGGTATAACCTCTGTAGGAATGATACACAGGTGTCTTGAGTATCTGTAAGTGCTTGTGTACCTACAACAGAATTTTAAATTATTTTCATACATGCCAATGAAATGTAACCAGTGTATGCTTCTAGGTCAGATCTGTTTTTACATAACTTTCAAAATTCTGTTCTTTTGTGCTTAAAAAGGAGCTTTAGGAATTTTTAACCCACGTGACCTTTGCAGCTTCTTAAACATTTTTTTCTTTTTTTCCTCAAGGGGAAAAAGGAAGGATGGTACATTCTGAGATGATAGCTGTCACTTCCTCAGGGAACACTTTCAAGACTTCTTTCTCACAAGGCATTCCCCCAGTACTGTGTAGATTTTAGGGATTTTCTTTGGAGAAAGTTGAAACAAAAACCCCTATGAACCTGCTAACAGTAACAATTGTTTGTCACTGGAAAGAAAACAGCTGTCAAGAACTGTTGAAAATTTATTTAGTTTCAGTGCAATTTACATGCTTTCCTGTTAGAGTTAACCTAGACTTTACTAGTCTTAGTAGTTTTCATCCTGAATTCCTTCAGATCCTTTTTATTTTTTATCTGAAATGCACTGTCTACTGGGAAGGAATTGCCTTTGCAATGAGTGGAGCACTTATGTTGTTCTGACCACATGCATCTCCGCAGAAGTGGTTAGACTTGCCTTTATGACAAAGTTAGGTGACACTAGGTTGTCTGTCAAGACTGCTGTTTACTGTAATGTAAATTAATTCCAGAAACGTTTTATTCTATGTTGTGTAAATTACTAATCTGTAAGAAGTTTTAATGTTTTTCTAATTAGCTTTTCACATAAACGTACTCTGAGAATGAGTGTTTTGTCAGTATGCATGGTGAACTGAATAGGCTATGGCCTCCAAAAAGGATTGAGAGGAGTGGATTTGTAGACTGAAAGAGGTGGTAAGAACCTGACATCAACACTGCACATATTTCAGGCTTTTCCGTCTGTCTTGGACTATCTCTAGTTTGGTCACATTTATTTGTGCCTAAGGTGCATTAGCAGTGCACCTAAATCACATCTTTAAATTTAGTGTAATCCAAAAGGAATCCAGGTGGTGATCCAAGAGCATTCTGTGGTGCAAACAAAACTGTAGTAAGAGGAAGTGACTGGAGATTTGCTTCAGAAGTGCCTTCCTGATCTGAACAGAAATGCCAAAATAAATGAACACTAAATAATCTTAGCTCTCTTTTGTAAAAGTAATTTGATGAAACGCCATCAGAACGTAAGGTAGATGTTGGAGACTGCTGGGCACTGGGTCTGCTCAACTCCAAACAGTCTGTGCCAGTGCCTGCTGTAGTCTGCGCTCTGCTTGAAAAACCCTTTTTGATGCTTTCAATAATCTTTTCACATGTGTCTGTTTTTGCTTCAGGGCACTGCTACTTGTATTCCAGCAATAAGAAATGCCTTCTGTTTTTTAGCTGCTGTCTTGAACATCATTTGGGGCAATGAAATCTAGCTTTAGTGTAATTTATACACAGACTGAGACTTGTTAGGAGCAGTGAAGATTCGTAGGTGAAACTTGCTTTGCCTTGTGGATTTTTCTTACCGTTTTGTGACCAAAGACACTTACTCTGGCTGCATAGTAAACTACAGGTGCCACTGATGGGGAAAGGTCTCCAGATGTTTGAAAATGTATGTGAGCATCAGGTTTCTTTGAGCATTTTGCAACACTTTCATTAGTAATGTAATTTGTGCAAATAAGTAACACGAATGTTACATGATTAAATGGTCGTTTTGATGGGTTTTTTTCAGCTCCTGGCACAAAGCTTCAGTGTGTGAGTTGAATACCCTTTGGGAAAACAGCTAATCAGACTGTTAAAATATTACAGAGAAAGTGATTTAAAACTTCCTGTTAGTGTTGAGCTTTTATAAATGTTGTTTTCTAAAAATCTACACTTGAGGTGGGACTGAGCATGTAGTTTATATATCTGCCAAGTTAGTCTTTTGCCGTGGAGAGCGAGCACAGCATTGTCGGCCCCTGTGGACTTAGTCGCAGAGCAGGGCCCTGCTGTGCTACACAGGTACAGACAGAACAGATGGGCTCAGTCCTGGAATGGCTTGCATTTCAGATTGGAGAGTACTTGGAAGCAGTAAACAGATGAGAAACATCAAGGCAGTGAGATGATTTGTCAAGTGTGGGCAGCCCATCTAGTGAAATGTTTTTGTGTTGTGTACATAGTAGTGTTTGAAAGCGAACACAAAATGATGTACTGGCAGCATGCAGTTATGTTCTAGCACATAAATACCTTGCTTCATCAGTAGCCCTTGCTTGCTCTATTTTTGTTTTTTTTAAGTAACAAATAACATAGTGGAGGATATTGAAATACCTCTTGAAGTTGATATCCCAGGCTCATGTGAGACTAGCACTAAATGAGATGTCTTTGTGGGTCAAGGTCATTCAACAAATGCAATTGTTGTCAGTCATGCAGATGACAGAGATTGAAAATTTAGTCTGATTAAAAAAATCTTATTTTTCCACTAGTACTGAGCAATATTTTCACAATGACACTAGCTAACTAGTCTGATCTTACCCTCAAATTGAATCCCAGTTAGCTCATTTTAGACCAAGAGAAGTAATTCTGAGCTTTCTAGCAATTTAAGGAGTAGCATACCTCTTTCTTTTCTGAATATTCTCTACCATTTGAACCTTAAGAACTGTCTTCTGACTTATCTAACTGCTCTTCTACTGTCTGCTCTGCTTTGTCCTCCAGTCTTGGAATGCCTGTGCCCTATTCAATTTGCTTCTCTGCTCTTGTGCTGTTGCTGCCGTTCTTTTGAAATACTCTGCTTCCTGCCTCTCTCTCCTGCTTTTGGAAAAAGATGAGGAGAAAGCACATGCTACTTTCCTTTTTCTTCTAATAGCGAGCTGGCTTGCTTAGCTGAGAAGAGCGCCGTCCTTTGGAGAGGTTCTTCTCACTGGAATACTTTACACTGTGTTTAGAGTTGTTCCTGAATTTCATAAGCTAACTTATTACCCTGGCAGCTGTAATGGCTGTATAATTGGCAACATCTGCCTCATTCTGATTTTTGATGAGCAAACAAAATACTGCTGTACTAGTTGGCATTCTAAGCCAGAAGCCAATTCTTGAATATTGATGACTACTTTTTCTCATTAATGGAGTCAGATCTTGAAAAGTTAAGTCTTCTCAAAAAGTTATGTCTCCTAGAGAAGCTGTTGTAAAAAAGGGAAAAAACAAACAAACAAAAAAACCAAACAAACAAAATCACCACTGCAAAGTATTTCAATGGGAGAGAAAAGAACATGACATAACTAAAGTCTTTTGTGGTTTGTTTTCATTGACTGGCTTCTTAATCTACTATTAAGCTTTAAGACATCAAGAAGGCAACTTCCAATAGAGTTTGGAAGAAAGTAGAGACTCAAATCCTGTAATATTTCTGAAAGGTGTATCTCTGAGGGAGAGCTGTTAGCCTGAGGCGTCTCAGCTTTTGTTGAGCTCAACTTAGCAGTTTTAAAGAACAACCACCCTAAAATCTGTAACTGATGAGAATAAGAATTGGTAAATTCCTGCAGGACTAACTCGGGTAAGTTGGGTAGCAGTGCTTATTGGTGACTGAGCTGGAGAGATAGCTGTGGTCCTGCCTGTTCTCATCCCCATGTGATGTTCTACCTGCTTGAAATTGAGACATTGCTCAGTGATTTGTCACAACGTAGTACTTAACGACACCCATGTAGAATATTTGAATAATCTTTTCATTGTGAGGGTCAGTGTTTTATGAAGTTTGGAGGAATCTTGTTTCTCAAAGTGTTTGCCAGTTCAGGGGATGGAAAAACACGTTCTTAAAGCTTGCAGCCATAAAGATAAAAACATGATTGATGTTTTTCAGTAGCAACTTGACAGCTTTGTTTTTCTGACATGTTAATTATGCATAAATAAGTAGCATCGGCAGGGCTGCCAGTTCACCCTTGCGATTTTTGAAAGAAACCTAGAGTATGATTATCTCAGTTTGTATGTGGTATCAGTAAAATAGCCCCCCCCCCAAAGTATTTTCCAAACAGGTTATGACTAAATAAAACATGACAGTTTTAGCAGAGGTCATGGAGTTGCATGGCAGACTCTTGTCCAGAATTACAGTGAAATACTTACTCATGTGTAACACAGAGAAAAGATTTTAATGTCTTCCTCCTATCTTTCTTTCTGGGCATGTCTTGCATATCTGAATGCCTGGTAGACTAATGAAATCTCTTGGTGATGTCTTTGCAGGGAGTGCCTTACTTAGGGAACAGGTTTAGTCTGTAGTACAGTTAAAGCAGTCTCAGCTTTTGCTACCTGCAGCCTGAATAAACTTTTCTTCATGCTTTATGCTCTCGTGCTGTCCTGAAAGATGTCCTGGTTTACTACAGTTCACTATATCAAAATCTTTAGGGGAAAAAGTCGGAAGTCTTGCCAAAACATGCTGTATGCTCTAGGAGGTTAGAGAGGCTAAGAGGTTTAAAAGCAGCCAAAACCAAACCTAAACCTTATCTATAGGAACTTTATATCTCTTGCATGCGAACCAGAGTTAAAAGCCCATAGGGAGGAGAATCTCATATGCTCAAAATATTGAGGGGGGAGGTAAATCATTTTCAGTGTTCTTAGTTGCAGTGTTTAGAAGCTGTATTAGTTGCCTTTGCTCATGTTCATTTCTTCCTGTCTTTGATCACAGTGGTATTTCAAGTTTTGGTTCTAAAAGAAAGCTATAGAAGATGCTAAGTTTTCCCTTTACAGCTCCTGCAGCAATTTTAAGGGTGGCCTCTGAACTTAAAAGGAATTGTATGGAAGAATTTCTGCAGTCATATGCAATTTTAAAAAAATTTCAACATAGTTTTGCCCCAGAGATACAGCTAGTGACAGACTTTGAAATTCAAAAACATAAATCCTCTTTCTGTAGAAATAACTATGCTTATTAATTTCTTGTATGAAATTACAGTGCATTTTTGGTAATAGGTTGGATGATCTCCCTACATGTTGTTTCAGTCCTATTTTAATGCATTATTGTAGGGGGACAAATGAAAGGAAAAATGCTAATTTGTTTTTTAATAGTGCATTTTATAAATGTGGCAATTTAGAACTGAGTATTTTTCTTTAAATCATTTTCTAGCAATATAGGCAACCAATTTCCAGGCCAAGGTGTTCCTGCTGGATTTTCCATGTATCCTGCATTCAGTCCCTTACAGATGATCTGGTGGCAACAGATGTATGCACGTCAGTACTACATGCAATAGTAAGTCTGGATTATCTTAGGTAGTACTGAGTTACACTAATAAAAGGAAGGTATTAAAAACTTAAATGATATTTGCAGGATTAAAGTGTCTGTATTTATTTTGTCTGGCTATGCTGTTTAATGCTAAGTTTTGTCCAGTAAGTTATGAAATGCAGTTTTGGATTGGAATTAATGTATTAATAAGTAAAGATTTAAGGGAAAATGCAGTTTATTTTGGCATCTATTACATCTGAATCCTTGTTTTTATTAGTGTAGAAAAGACAAGAATAAGCTTAGAAATTTTGGTGCATGTTTTTTGACAAACCAGTTTTATGTTTAAATTTTCAGCCAAGCTGCTGTTTCAGCCCAGGTGACTTCCAGCACCGAGCCAGTGAGATCTGCAGTTGCCCAGGCTGTAAATTCAGAACATGCTCCTCCAAATGAGCCTGCAGCAGCACCAAATGTAGCTGTCCAGGAGAACAGGCCTGTAAACCCAAATGTTCAGATGAACGCACAGGGTGGCCCGGTAGTGAATGAGGAGGACTTCAACCGGGACTGGCTGGACTGGATGTACACATTCTCTAGAGCAGCAATTCTTCTAAGCATTGTATACTTCTATTCTTCCTTCAGTCGATTTGTCATGGTAATGGGAGCCATGCTGCTGGTTTATTTGTGAGTACAACAGTTGAGTACAGCTGCAGATCTGATATGTGGAGTACGATGCTAGTGTATAATCCATTGAAACTGAAAAATTACCCAAATGCAAAAGTTTAGCCACTGCTACTTTACAGTATTTGGGGGGGAGATGTTTAAAAAAGAAAAAAAAGTTCAAACAAGTAGAGAAGCAGATATGAAAAAAGAGGTAATACTCAGAACATTTTTACAGTAAGTTGGATACCACTTATACCTGAAACACAGTACTCTGAAATGGTGGTGGTGTTAACACAGCAGTATTGTAGAAATGTAGAGTTTTGGGATACAAATCTAGAAGCTGGGAGTGAGAGGAGGGAAGTTCATATAAGTCAAGTGTATGTTTGCATAAACTCAAAACACTTACTGCTTGAATATGAAGGGAAAATTGCAGAGCTGAGCTCATTTATATTTCAAAAATAACATACGGGATTTGTGCAGTGAATTGTGTTAGGCAGAGTTAAGGTCGTGCTCCTGCAACGGTGGGTACTAGATCTGGTAGAATTGCAGGGATGCAAAAAAATTTTTTTTACAATACATCATAAAGACGTGAGCTGCTTTCTGTTTTATTAAGAAGTACCAGTACTGTTGTCATCACCTCCTTTTATATATGAAAATGCCTTAGTGATGTAAATAGAAGTGGAAAATAGCAGTAATGCTTGATATTTTGGGCTGATGTCATTCATTGAGAGTTTCCTTACATTGTAGTCTCAGTCCTCACGAGAACTGTTCTGTTTCTCATGCAGATATAATGGCTGAAATCAGAATATAGACACTTGAAAATGTAGCAGAGGCTTATTTAACTTACAGTGGTAATGTGATTCAAGCCTTAGCTGAAGTTTAAATTCTTTTTTTCCACAGAAAATCAACTTTAAACTATATTGATTTTCAAAGGCAGCCTTAATTAACTTAAGTATTTACAAACAGGGAGGAGACCCAAAAGAAGTATCTTACACATTTAATCTCCTAATCAAGGTAAATTATTCATCTTCTGGAATGGAGGGCTGTGAACAGCACTACTGAAACTTAAAGAGCAGCTCTTATCAAGACCTTTCTTAACCCAGACATCAAAGAATAGCAGTTCAATCTAGAAGTAAGACTTGCAGAAAAATACATGTAGCTGCATTCCTTTGAAAGTACTTGAAGAATTAACTACGGTAGTTAGCTGTAGCAGAAAATTTTTTTTGTTCTTTTCAAAAGAGAGGTTTTCAACTGTTCCATTTTCTTACATAGACACCAAGCTGGATGGTTCCCCTTTAGGCAAGAGGGAGGCCAGCAGCAGGCAGCCAATAACGTAGAAGTGAACCGTGATGGGCAACATGCAAATAATCCTGATCTTGAAGAGATGGTGAGTAAGGGCAGACATGTCTTTTGAGGCTCCTATGGATTATATTGTAAAGTATGCTGTAATGCCTGGACAGAAAGTCAGCTTCTATGAAATGCAGTCGGTTTAACCAGAAAGCTTTCAGCATTGTCCTCAGTGTTGTGCCTGCTGCTTAAATTCTGGTTTTTTTTTCCAATCTGATAGTTACTGCTTGTCTCTGCTTCAGTCACAGACTTTCCTTATGCTAGTTACTCTTCAGGACGTGGTTCTGAGAGAAGCTATTTAGTGTAGGAAGATACTTCTGGTTACCTTATGCCAGAGCTCTGAAAAGAAGCAGTTGAATTGCTTCAATTTCTGTTTTTAAAGGAACGACTTATGGACGATGGCATTGATGAAGACAGCGGAGAAGATACAGGTGAAGATGCCAACACAGAGCAGCAGCCTGGATTCATGGCTTCTGCTTGGTCCTTTATCACAGCCTTCTTCACATCACTTATCCCTGAAGGGCCTCCACAGGTTGGCAATTAAAGTGGAAAAGGAACTGTGTCAGGCAGCCTCAGTAGCCATACATAGAAGTGGAGCAGATTCTAGAGAGTGTTTTAAATACAGTGCAATTTCTGGAAATTTATAATGTTATCTTTTTTGATCACAATGTACAAAAATGTGTATTTTTTTCTTTCGGCTTTCTCATGCGTTGAGTATTTTAAGCACAAGTGGACTACTAAATGCTTTCTTTAAGATTCTTCTTTTTCTGAAGAATAAAATGTAAAGATACTGGTCTTCCATGTTTTATTTTAATTTCAAGTGTGTATTATACTGAGGCAAAAAGCTTGCACTTCGTCGCACCATTACCTCTTTAAAGAGCTGTTAAAAATACGAATGTTGACATACCTTTCTGAATGCTATCAATTAATCTGAATAATATATCTTGTGTTAGTTTTATGCAGGGTATGAATTATCACCTGGGATTTGGAGTTTGTATCATTCCTGAAAGAATGCTTTAAACACAAGGATTACTTGTTAATGGCGTGTTGTCTTCATGCCACAAAATACTAAGCCTCTTCTTGTACGTTTAGAAAGCTAAAAGCTTTTTCTCGAGGCTTATACTGAGGTTTGTTAAAGTTGGAGATGTTTGACAGCTCTTCAAAGACAATTGACAGTGATGGGATAAACCTTAAATGTTTGATACATACAGTACTTTTTAAGAAAAATATAGGTGTACTGGGGAAAAACATGTACATTAGGTTTTTCTAATAAAAACTGTTACGGTAACTCTTTTGGATGTTTATATGCATACTTGAATGCAAACAACTAAATAGTGCATCATGAAGGGTTGAGGATATGATTAATTTGAGAGTGGAATAAAGTTATCATGGTGGCATTACTGGTATTGACTAAAGTGGTATGTTTGTAGCAGCACATACACAATTGCGGGTGTGATCTCAGCAGCAGGATATCGATAAGATACACAATATAAGAATACAATTCTTTTACTTAAGTAACCTAATTAAAACTGAGAAAAGAAAAACTGTACGTGAGATAAAGCACAGTGCTACTGTCAGGTTTTCGGTTGCTTTCTTTAGATTTTAATCATAGTCAAGAAGTTACATTTGGTTTTGTTCCTAATTCTGAAGTTATCATGTGCTATCTAACTTAAAAATAGCTGCAAAGATTCTGTTATACTACAACCAAAAGAAAGCCTATCCCACTTTCTAATTTCCAAGTACAGGGCAAAGCTCTTAAATAGGTCTGAACAAGTGAGAAATAGGGGTTTATTTTTTGCTTGCTCATGTTGAACTGCTGAAGCTATGCAGTGAAATTTTAAAACTTGATAAATTTTCTTTGCATTTATGCTCTGAAGCATCTGTCAGGAATTCTAGGCCTTATTGAAAGGTGACTGTCACTTGGAAAAAATAAATTTTTTGGTTTTAATTTAAACAGCTTAAATATTTTTTTGAGTTACAAAATAATTCTCATTTACAAATCTGTCAGAAGAAGAGAAATATGTAAGTCTTAAAAGCATCAATTATTTGCTGTATAGGCAGCAACGATGAATAAATCATGTTTAATTTTGATGTTTTACTCCTGTGTTACTCTGGAGAGCTGCTCTCAGTTTAGGTTCTTTACTACATAAATGTAAAATGCGTAGACCTTGTCCAAGAAATTTTACTGTTTTAATTTAGTGGATGGATCTAACTTGACAAATATTTAAGAACTGTTACAAACACTTAAATTTTTAAAGGAGTGGCACAGAATGGCAGTCTTGGATGTCATAAGACTTATTTCTGGAGTGCATTGAAGAGGTTTCACCGATTTGACCTGCGTGTTCTCCCTCCTGCATTTCCCAAAGGTTCACTTTCCATTTTGTCCTGGGGTTAGAGTATCTGTAACCTGTGCAGTTACAACCTACTGCTATCCAACTACTAACAGCTGTTAGTTGCTTCTTGCTGTTGTTGTCATTGCTTAGGTTTCTGTTTGTTTTCCATGATACAGGAAGCAATTGGTGGTAGCTCTCTGCTGTTAGCAGGCTAGATATAGAGAAGTTGTTCTGCTATTAGGTCTGATTTGGTTAAAAAGTATAGAATTGTCACTGCTTGTTCCTATTCAGACAAGGAGAAATTTGTTTATAGGTTACACAAGGTTGAAATCATGAAATGGGAGATCCTGGCAGTTGGTTAGGTATTGAGGGAGATTTTTCGAAGAGTTTTAATCAGATCGTAGAGATGGAGCAATGAGTTGAAGAGACCGGACTTCCACGAGAACATTTTAAGGTCATTCAACCTCCCAGCTTCCAGAGCCTTACCAAGACCTGAGCAAGAAAAAGCAAAAAGATGGTCACTGAGGAAAATGAGTGAGAAATAAGAATGGGGTATGAAGCATTACCAAAAAGCAGTGAAAGAGTTGAAGGCAGAGGAAAGCCAATGGGAGGAGCAAAGATAAGAGAAGGTGTGATGACGAGTAAATATGAAGCAAACATCGAAGAGCAGATTGAGGTAAGATAAGTGAGTTTATTTTTTTATTATTTTCAGAAAGGGAAAGAACTTGATGAAAATTAGATCAGGTCTTAGTTTTATGGGTTTCTGAGCAATTCAGGTATCGAATTGAACAGCATGAAATACATAATGGGGAATGATGGAAGAGAGGTGAAAACCTTAGGAAAACAGTTGCTTTTTCATCGTGTATCCTTGTTGTAGGAACTGTTCTAGAGCATAAAACACAATTATGTAGTATGTGGCTGTAGGCAAAGCCAGATGCCGAATTACAGCAAATCTGTAGCATGAGGTGGAACAAAAGGGCATCAGGATTGAGGCAGCATAGGATGTGCCCTGGTATTAATGGTTCTGTAACATAAAAATGGTTCTGTTCATCACTCACTTTTACAAGTTTGAATACAGAAAAAGTAATTGAAATTCATTCTTTACCTTACAGGAAGACACAAAATGACAGATACGCTACATCTAGAGGAGGTCTCTGTAGCTAATAGCGAGTCTGTGCCAGCATGTGCAGCAGCTTCAGTGTGTTAATGTAGAGACAGTCACACCAGAAACAGACACAAGACCGAAGCATGTTCCATCCATAATACTTCTTGCTGTGAAGAGCCAGATGAGATCAGCAGTGCTGATGGAGCAGGTGTATGAGAAGAGCAACACATAGCTACTCTTCTGGTTGATTTCTCGATATTGTGCTTACTCTGCGAAACACTTTGCAACT